TCAACAACACGTGAAAGCTGCCAAGGTTTGGGGCTTCCACACACTGAAGCAACAGCCTGAACTGTATCTTGACCCCTTTTAGCCATGACTGGAACAGCTGGAATACAGGGTACCAAGTCCCTAGGCTACACAGAGCAGGGTGGCCCTGGGCCTGGCTGGTAAAGCCATCTTTCTTATTAGGCCTTCAGGCCTGTGATGGGAGGGGCTGCTGTGAAGACCTCTGACATGCCCTGGAGACATTTTCCCCATTGTCTTAGGAATTAACATTCAACTCCTTGTTACTTATTGCAAATTTCTACAGCTGGTTTGACTTTCTCCTCAGAAAATGGGATTTTCCTTTCTATTGCATTGTCAAGCTGCAAACTCTCCTACCTTTTATGTTCTTTTCTCATTTAAAATTGAATGCCTTTAGCAGCACCCAAGTCACCTTCTGAATGCTTTGCTGCTTAGAAATTTATTCTGCCAAATTCCCTAAATATTCTCTCCCAAGTTCAAAGTTGCACAGATATCTAGGGCATGGGGCAAAATGCCACCAGTCTCTTTGCTAAAACATAATAAGAGTTACCTTTGCTCCAGTTCCCAACAAGTTCCTCATTGCCATCTGAGACCACCTCTGCCTGGACTTTATTATCCATAACACTGTCAGCATTTTGGTCAAAGCCATTCAATAAGTCTCTAGGAAGTTCCAAACTTTCCCACATCTTCCTGTCTTCTGAGTCTTCTAAGTCTCTAAGAAGTTCCAAACTTTCCACATTTTTCTGTCTTCTTCTGAGTCCTCCAAACTGTTCCATCCTCTGCCTATTACCCAGTTCCAAAATCACTTCCACATTCATGGGTATCTTCAGCAACACCCCACTCTACTGGTACCAATTTACTGTATTAATCTATTCTCACACTGCTAATAAAGACATACCTGAGACTGGGCAATTTCCAAGAGAAAGAAGTCTTTTGGACTTACAGTTCTGTGTGTCTGGGGAGTGCCTCACAATTATGGCAGACAGCAAGGAGGAGCAAGTCATGTCTCACATGGATGGTGGCAGGCAAGGAAAGACAGTTTGTGCAGAGAAACTCCCATTTTTAAGACCATCAGATCTTGTGAGACCCATTCACTATAATAACAACAACATGGGAAAGACCCACCCCCATGTTTCAGTCATCTCTCACCAGGCCTTTCCCACAACACCTGGGATTGTGAAAGCTACAAGATGGGATTTGGGTGGGGACACAGAACAAAACCATATCAATAGCCAAGTCCAAATAAGCATACACCATCATTTCCTAATGTAAAAGAGAAAAAAAGAGTGGTGTCCTGAAAACAGTAACTGGTACCACGTGCATTTCGTGCAGTTCAAATAATTGCACAAGCTTTTCCTCATGACAGCCATGATACTTCAGTTTATAGCAGATATGCTTTATGCAAACTTCCCAGTTTATCAAATAATATTAAAAAGTGTAACTAAAGGTTAAGATTCAATAAAATCAGTGATTGTTTATTTTTTCAATGTGGATATTCTCAAGTGAAACTTTTACTGTGAGGTGGTGAAGTAGATGAGTGCTTTTTGTTTGATTCATGCTAAGGTGTCAGCAGTTTTATCCACCATTGCTTTTGCACTGCCAGTAGCAAACATCCACTCAGTGAAAGAGGTCAAGTAACATTTAAATAACACTTTGATATTATTATGAAAATAGTTTTGACCTCATCAGTGGGCACCTTAAAAAGGGTCTTGATGACTCCCAGGATCCATGGTCTATACTTTGAGAACCACTTCTTAAATATGCAAGCTATGTTGCCCTTGCCCACTCTACTTTCTTAACTCTAGCTCTTATTAATTCTTATCTTTGTTGTTTTTATAGTTCCCTAACTGGTCTCCAAATCTTTAGTCTTTTTCTCTTCCTTAAAAGTTTCTAGAATACAAATCTGATTTTGTTGATACCCTTTTAAAATCTTTTAACATGCTCCAGCACAATTGGATAAAATCCGGATTTTTTCATAGAGCATAAAAGAGACCCTTTACTATCATACCTACCTTAGTAACTAACCTCTCTTCCTGTCAGTACTTCCTAGTCTTTGAGCCAACCTGAATTTACTGGTAATTCCCTGAACACATCACGGTTTCTACATGATTTCTATATGTTATTCTTCCTACCTGTAATACTCTTTTACTTCCCACCTATCCCTCTAACTGCACATCATTTTTAAATCACCTCATGTTACCACCCATAAAATTTTATATAAGAATTTGTTATATTACAGTTATTTTGCTTATATGTCATTTTTTCCTATTAGATTGTGAGCTGTTTGAGGTCAGGAACTGTGTCTTTCTGTGTATTCCCAGTACTTATCAAGGGTGAGGCATGTAATATTTAATAAGCGTTTGAATATTTCAATGAACTCCATAAAAACTGAAAATACAAATTAATTTTATGGTATTTCATTTTCTTTTCCTTCTAATACAGTTCTTAGAGTTGCTAATGAATAATAAAAAAGGCTACAGATGGGAAGAAAAGAAAAAATGTATATATATACACACATACACACGGTATGTGTCTGTATACACAAAGTATATACCATATGTATATATATTTTATAAATATATACATATATCCCTCAACCACTTTATTGGACGAAGCAATGGATCTTTATTTCCATAATTTTTACTTTAAGTAAGATTCAGGGGAACATTCAGTTTGTATATATATGTTTCTGAAAGTTGTAATGAATTACATTTTAAAAAATTAACCTCCTTAATTTGTTATAACTCAGTCTGTCATCAATTTAGATGTTTTTTCCTAATTTAGAATTCTTAATATGGAGGCAAAAATGCCAAAATATTTCCATTCTTTATTAATGTTTTAAAACTACCATGTGAGAATATTAGGATTATTAAAATTTTTAACTGTGTACTCTACATTGTTTTATATTAAAACTTGGTTGATTGTATTTTGTTTTTGAGTTTAGTACAGTAAAATAAATCTTGGTAAAGGGATTTCTGTCGGAAGGGTACCTAACTAGAAATCTCACTTAACATAATCCATTAACATATAGATAGCATTTATCAGCTAAAAGAACCTCTTTCAGAAGAAAGAAAATTTTTTCTAAGATTTCATAATGTATAAAACTTTAAAAGTTAATTATGCCTGGTGCAGCCTGTAATCACACCTGTAATCCCAGTGCTTTGGGAGGGCGAGGCAAGAGGATCATTTGAGGCCAGGAGTTTGAGACTAGCCCAGGCAACATGGTGAGATCTCTGTCTCTGCAAAAAAATTTGTTTTTTAATTAGCCAGACATGGTGGCACGCACCTATAGTTGCAGTTTCTCAGTAGGCTGAGATGGAGGAGCTCTTGGGCCTGGGAGGTCAAGGCTGCAGTGAGCTATGATTGTTTCACTGCACCCCAGCCTGGGCAACAGAGTGAAACCCTAAAAAAATAAATAAAAATGAAATTAAAATGTAAATTTTTTTATATTTAAAAAATGTTATTACCCACCATTTGTTCTGTACAATGCACTGTAAGTATATATATTTAGATAAATCCAAATCACTTAAAAGCAAATTTTGGGCCAGGTGTGGTGGCTCATGCCTGTAATCCCAGCACTTGTGTGGGGCCGAAGCAGGTGGATCGCCTGAGGTCAGGAGTTTGAGACTAGCCTGACCAACATGGAGAAACCTCAGCTCTACTGAAAATACAAAAAAATTAGCCAGATGTGGTTGCACATGCCTGTAATCCCAGCTACTCGGGAGGCTGAGGCAGGAGAATTGCAAGAACCCAGGAGGCGGAGGTTGCAGTGAGCTTAGATTGCCCCATTGCACTCCAGCCTGGGCAACAGGAGCAGAACTCTGTCTTTTAAAAAAGGCTAATTTTGTAGGTTATGCTTTTCTGCCTGTTGACCATTTCATTGCTCGTTAGCATCTGAGTAAATATAATATTTTAAATGAATCATTTTAAGCCTCACTAATTTAGAATTTACAATGACAGAGTCATTGGACTGAAACCTAGCTTTTTACAGCCCCTTGCCTAGATGTTGCCTAGTAAATTAAAATAACATGTTTACAAAATTACAAGGGAAAATAAAACTTTTAGTGAACTTTAAGAACTTAAATTATTGCTGTATTATAGATTTGTTGATTATAGATCATGCCTTTAATGCATATTTGTTGATTAAAAACCAATAGTAGGCCGGGCGTGGTGGCTCAAGCCTGTAATCCCAGCACTTTGGGAGGCCGAGGCGGGTGGTTCACGAGGTCAAGAGATCAAGACCATCCTGGTCAACATGGTGAAACCCCATCTCTACTAAAAATACAAAAAATTAGCTGGGCATGGTGGTGCGTGCCTGTAATCCCAGCTACTCAGGAG